CCTGGCTAAAGGCCTGCACTTCCTGTTTCCAGGAAGGGAGAAGCTACAGATAGTAATTTTGTTCAATTTCCACTCTTTTCTCTCTTTGAGGAAGACTCATCCATTTCTATTATGTAGGGTGGTAGAAATGTAAGACTGTGCAAACTTTCCATTTTTGTCTTTTGTCAACTCAAAGTCATCCTGTTTTCCCTCACAGCTGTCAACATAAAAACTGCAGAGATTTACAGAGCCTCCTTCCAAGATCGAGGTCCGGAGGAGGAGCTGCGGGCTGCACGAGCTTTAACAGGAGGACCAGTAAGTTTGAAATCACCTTTGTGTTAAGTGGTTAAGGAAAAAAAAGGGGTGGGGTGGGGGGCTCAAATCCCAAAGCCTGAAGTTTTATAGACCTTAGAAATGAAAAGTTTACGTCAGCGTCTTTAAAGCTGTAAATTATCAGGAACCATCACGTACTCACACATATAGAATAATGCATGTTTATAGGTTAAAGCTCAAGACCCCTGTTCTCTGCCTTGAAGGCTTAGGGGGAAGTAATATGAACCCCCAGCATCCAGATCAAAAAAGAACAAATCCCTTTTACTTTGTAAGACTTTACGGTAAAGTTCCAACAAAGAAAGGGGAGCCAGGAAGGGGGAAGACTTGGTCCTTTGGACCAGGTCACTGAAGAGCAACCTGCTGGAACAAATTGATTAGCCCAAAGGAATGATCAAATCAGTTTAAAAGCCTGATTGCCTGAGGGTGCTTTTTAATTAAATCTTTTCTTTTTGTGAGGAAGATTCGCCCTGAGCTAACATCTGTTGCCAATCTTCCTTTTTCCGCTTGAGAGAGATTAGTCCTCAGCTAACACCTGTGCCAGTTTTCCCTCTATTTTGTATGTGGGTCGCCACCACAGCATGGCTGAGGAGTGGTGTCGGTCCACACCCAGAATCCGAACCCACAAACCCAGGCCGCCAAAGCGGAGTGTGCTGAACTTAACCACTACGCCACGGGGCCGGCCCTCAATAACATCTCAATTTTAAAAGATAGAAAAATAAAAACCTAAGACTTACATGCCATTTAGGAATGGGTGAAAGAATCCTTTAAAAATGCTTAAAATGTGAAAAACAGAAATCACATTCAGGGAACAAAAAGAAATTGCGCTTATGAAATGCTGGCATTTTCACTGGAAAATAAAGTTTGGATTCAGAGTGATCCAATCCTTTAACATTTTTAGGATTCCTATTGCAATTTCTCAAGTAGCCTAATAGCCTTGATTTAGATAATATTTCAGTCTCAGTAACCAAAATTGAACATTGCAGGTTAAGCTGAAAACTACCATTGGCAGATTTGGGAATTCAGAGAATTGATCATTTGGCACAATAGCATTTTTACAAATTGGTTTTTCCTTCCTTTTGATGGGGCAACAGGCATTGTGTACTTTTAAGCAGCAAGATAATTAGTTGCTTGGGGTATAAATAATGAGGCAGTGTTTTATGTAGCAATGAGGAACATGGACTTCAGTCAGACACACCTGGGTTTGAGACCCAGCTCTGAAGCTTACTGGAAATGTGACCGTGGGCAATATGCCCTGTTTCTCTGAGCCTTGGGTTTTCAACCAAAATGGGAAAAATGCCATCTTCCTGCAGGATTGTTGTCAGGACTAAACACAATAATGTCTGTTACCCACAAAGTACAGTACAGACATACTGGAAGTATTCAGTACATAGTTTTTGTTATTATAAGACACAATTTTAAAGAAGCTTATCATCCAGATCAATGCCTTAAGTGCTAGATTACACTGGAGCTTGATTGAATGGTAGGCTTTGAGAAGCTGATAACATTCCTTAAATTCTGTCCCTGAAATGTTCTCTTTTAGATGATTAGTATTTACGATGCAAAGACAGAACAACTTTGTATAGGACCATATTCCTGGATGCCATTTCCACATGTGGATTTCTGGTTGCAGCAGGATGATAAGCAAATACTAGAGGTGAGAATTACAGGTTGGGTAAATCTTAAATCTCTGGACCCTGGTTTCCTCATATGTAAGAAAAAAAGGGTTTAAACTAGATAACAGCTGCTTTTCTGTCAGTGGGTAGTAGTTATTTTTAGGATGCCATTGGCAGACCCCATGTAACTTCTTCATCAGCTGGGGATAAGCAATGTCCTGGATAGATATTTGCGTAGGTGAAGCAGTAAGCAACCAACTGCTTTTTCCTCATTAACCCAGTACCTCATTGTTTATGTAATTTTACAATTTATATATATTTATATAGTGATCTGAGAACATCCCGATTAATGTTTAAGGAACACAAAGGTACCCTGTTTGACATCTTTATCAAAGTAGGGAACAGAGCGAGCTTACTCTTCTCTCATGCCCCAAATCTTGTTTTTCCAGAACCTTTCCACTTCACCTCTGGCTGAGCCCCCCCACTTTGTTGAACATATTAGATCTACCTTGATGTTTTTAAAAAAATACCCATCTCCAACTAACACGCTGTTTCCTGGAAATAAAGCTCTCCTCTACAAAAAAAATGAAGATGGCTTATGGGAAAAGATCTCTTCTCCAGGAAGCTAAAAATAGGAATTACCAAAGAAAGCAACCTTTTGGCATGACAAAGACCATTGGTGGGGTTGGAAAGAATATGAATTTGGAATCTACAACCGTTGAGTCTTAGGTCTCCTTCCTTACTCAGTGTCTTTCAAATAACTTTCGAAATAAAATCTTATTTTGGCAAAGGTATTTGTTTAGGTTTACTTTTTGCTTTACTAAAAAGTTGACATCCAGCTTTTGCTTTTTGGTTAGTAATAAGGGGCAGAGGAGAAGGCACCTGTCTCACTAGTCTACAAGCAGCTATTTCAGATACTTAGGTAAGTACTTCTAATTCTGCTAAATTAGTGAATAAAGGAAAAATTGTAATTGAGTGTTTAAAAAACAATATTTAAAATGCAGTAAAATTGTGCCGGCCCCGTGGCTTAGCGGTTAAGTGCGCGCGCTCCGCTGCTGGTGGCCCGGGTTCGGATCCTGGGTGCGCAGGACACACCAGTTTTCTGGCCATGCTGAGGCCGCGTCCCACATACAGCAACTAGAAGAATGTGCAACTATGACATACAGCTATCTACTGGGGCTTTGGGGGAAAAAAAAATAAAATTATTAAAAAAAAAAAAATGCAGTAAAATTCAGTGAGAATTTATACATCTCACAGAGATTTCTTTTTTGGCCCAAAAATATTGTAGAAACATCCAATCCAAAACTGATACATGGACTTGTGGACGGATGAGATGAAAGGTTGAGACAGAAGAGCAGGTGTGAGCTCACTGTTCTGCAGTACCATTCTAGCACAGATCATCTCCACGAGACTAAATTTAATCTCTGAGCGTGACACAAAGCCACTGATACATCTGCTCTTGCAGGTGTAAGGTCATTATAAAAGCCCAAATTGTGATTATTATGCAAGCTATATTTTTAGCAACCTTTATTTTTCTGAAATAGCTATCCACAAGGAAGTCACGAGTCCTGATTAATAGTAAGACTGATGAACTGAACTCACTGGCAACAATTTCAAGAACGTTTATTGAAACCAACATTCAAATAGTACCTCAAGGGTGAAATTCTGGTTCAGCAAAACCAATTAACAATTCCAAATATATATAAAAACATTTAAAAATTAATTTTGTTAAAGGTGATAATTTCCCCTTCCCCCATTTTATCTGTTATACTTCATTGCACCAAATAAACAGGGAAGACTTTGTTTAATCATCTGTACCCCCCCCAAAAAAAAAGAAAAAGGAAAATTGCATTTTGACCAGTGCCAAATGTCAGAAATCACATCAAATCAGAGTGTAATTATAGGCTTAATGTGGTATAAACTAAGGCTTCCAATACTACAGTCCACATACCCCATGTGACTTCCCACCATCTTTGGGTCTCAATAGCTTGACTTGGCTGGACTAAAGGCACAGGGGCCACACCTGTGATAAATGAAGTGCTGCCGTGCTTTTGGGAAAGCAGAGACAGGCAGTAAGTAAGGGCTTACTTCCAGTTTTTTCAGCAGTAGTCTGGCTTGATCAGCCTGAGAAAGATCACTGTTCTGGTTCTTGTTTCTGAGTTGGACCCAAAGGGGTGAGCTGCTAGTAGAACAGAAGCTACAGAAGCTCCCATGTGAAACTGGTCAAAAGTATACTTATTTTAGAATTGAAACTTCACTAGGTGCTCCACACCATATTTAATATTAGGCTCTTAAGAGTAGCATCTATCGGGTTTTCAGATATTAAACATAGAAATGAGTACAGTCTGTAGCTGTGTGCCAATTTAAAAGCTTTACCAGTATTTAAAAATATACATATATATATGGTCAAGAAGAGTCTTTACAGTTAACTCTTTATAGATGAGTCTTTAATTTGTTTACAAATAGTATATAAAGGGAGAAATGGATTTGTGGCAGAGGAAAGTCACAGACAGAAGCACTGCCCGCTCTAATTTGCTTGATGACCCTGCCACAGCTTGAATGGACACAGTCCTTACTTTCGTGTCCAGGGAAAGCAGCAGTTGGGGATGGCTGGAGAGGGCTTCTGACACTCATATTTACAATCCCATTGAAACCCATTCTCCTTCAAGCCAAACACAATCCAGTTGTATACTGCAACCTGATCAAACTACTAAAACACCAACTAAAACAGATGGCCAAGAATGCTATCTGTCTGCCCTCTGCAGAGTGCAGCAGAGAACCCAGAGAGTTCTGAAGAAAGCTTCCGACCAAAAAGTTCTGTGTGCAACCTAGTAACTTCTTACGCTTATGTTTCGAAAGATAAGAGCAAGTGTTTCAAGTGGCAGGCACTTGAAATTCTAAGTGTTCTTTGTGAATAAAAAGTGTTTATGGTAACTCGGGGAAAAATGTTTGGGTAGACAGAAACAATAGTTGTTGGTTGTTCTACATACCCATAAAATTAGACAAGTCAATTGCCTTTCTAGAAAGCCTGGCTTTCAGGCACATATTTGTGCAGAAATCCCAGTAAAGCACAAATAACAGTAATTTCTCTTGTATTAGCATATGGCACAGTTCACATTTTCAGTATAATTTCATCTTCCCTGAAACTATTCAGAACAGTCTCAAAGCAAACACTGAATTTTATCTTAAGCTCTCCGGTTCTTCTACCTGTGGGTGGTCATCTTCTGGGCGCTGGGCCCTGTTCTGGAGGGCCCCAGTCTGCTCGCCTTCCTGAGGGGTGGGAGTCCCTGGGTGTTGCTCAGGACTGTTAGCCTCCAGGGCATCTTGCTCCGGCCCACCAGACAGGTGCTCCATCTTTTCTAAGTCTTCAATGTGACTGACTGAGCTTGTCTCACTCTGGGCATCTGAACCTCTTAGGGACCTTTTAAAAGGCTTCTGTCCTAGAGAAAGATCCATGAACAGCACTGAAATCTTGGTAAAGGTCACTCCTGCAACAAAAGCTCTCTGTGCAACAAGCGATTTAATTACAATTGCTTTAGCAAAAATCCCTGGAATTACTGACTCTGAAATATTTAAGTGATGAGGCGAGAAATGAGAGTCGATATGACACTAACATGCTCCCAAGACTGAGAACTTCTGAGGTAACTTCACTGGGAAAAGCTCAGGAGAGTAAAGGCCAGGTTAAACGGGATGCCAGCTCTCAAGGCCCTAACTTCCCCACTGGAGGGCCACAGAGCCATTGCTCCACGGCTAAAGCCCCAAGGCTGCGGACATGGCTATTTAACAGGACAGTGATAGTCTTAATTGATGAGAAATAGGACTTTGGGTTAAAGAGTGAGGAAAAGAAAGGAATGCAGGTAATACCAAACCACTGCATGACGCAAAGGTCTACTTTCCCCAGAGAAACACTGCCAGTTTCCTTCAGTGTTGATGAACTCACACGTGGAGATGTAACGTACCTGGAAGTCTCTGTTTAGTGCGAGTGCCTGAGGGGGTCTGAGGTGGTGTTACTCCTGTGCCTTGTACTTTGTAGACATATGTGTGTTCTGTGGATTCCAGAGAGCCTGCCGGGAAAAGAGAGGGGTGTGCGGAAGCTTCTGGCACAGGCTGCCCTGGGAGATGCCCCCACTCAGCCTTGTTCCCTAATAAGCTTCTCCAGCCATTCAGCCTCGCATAGACTGGTGGAGACTTCAGCACTGCTGAACGTGCCAGGAACTGGAGAGAGCTCACGAGTCCCAGTCCTGCTCGTTTCCCCAGGTATCTCATGTCCATGTGACAACACTCAGCCAGCAGCGTGGCCCGAGCATGCCTGGGGAGCGGGCCCAAGTGGGAAACGTACTTGAGCAACAAGGAACAGTTGCCTCTTTGCTGAAGGCTGAGGCTTGGCGGGTGAAGAGTCAGATGCTCTCTTGCTGTCATATGACAGTGTGGTCATCATTTCCTGGGGAAGGGATAGAGGAAGGGGCCCCAGGTTCAGGGAATTATTCCCTGGGCAGAACAGGAAGGGAGGAGTCCTGTAGCTGGATATCCTCTTCCCCAATTCCCAACAAGTGGTAATACTTGCTGGTTGCCTGGTTTGAAATAAAATGGTCCAGTGTTACAGACTACAATCTTTTAATTTCCTCTTTCAAAAGCAGCCCTTTGCTGGGGCAGAACACTAATGAGGACTGCAAGGAATATTAACACTGAACCAAAATGCCCAAGACACATTGTCTTGAGGATCTGAACAGCTGAGTGAACATGTTCTTGCTGGATTTCAGGAAGAGGAGTCTGCTGTGGGCAATGGGTATCTGCTTTCGTGCTATTTCAGCTGTCGGGGTGGGAGAGGGAAGACAAGAGAGTCACGGGGCAGAAAAATCTCGTCTCCTTAGACAGGTTGTTGGCATGGTCCCTGGTAACAAAGCATGGGATGTATACAAGGCTTCTCGAGTGTGGGATCCCATGGCATCTAGTCAAACTCTGAAGGTAAATGGGATCTGGGAGGAAGCTAGTTAGTCCTACCTGCTGTTAAGTTAAAACTTCTTCCCTTTTGTGAAGCTTGGACTGGAGAAAACCAATTCAGCACGGATCCTACTACAGGGATCTGCCGTAACACCCCCTGCAAAACATAACCGTTGCTCAAGATCATCTTGTCAAGTCTGGCTTCCGGCCTGATGCCAGCTGGGAAGTCCAGTCTGGGGCCTCACCTCTTCCAGAAGTCGCTCCTCATTTGCCTTCTGCAGTTGAACCTGAGCTTCCTGAATTCCTTTCCGAACCACTTCTGTCATGTTTTCCAGAAGCTGTGTTAAGACCAAGAAAGACATTACTTGTCTAAGCTTCTTGCCTGGGGCCTAGAAGAACTATGACACAGCACTGGGGACATTTTTCGCAAGTATGTTAGTAAATGGAATTCTGCGCTTTTAAACGTCAGTGTAAAAATGAAATAGAAAACCAAATAGAAGAGGATAAAATGCTCAAGGAGGCCTATGCAGACACACCTTGGTCACCAGCCTCATTTGCCAGGAACAGAGAGGAGAAGTAACTGTCCCTATGAACTGAATCTCATTTCAAAAGAAAATACACACTGCTCAACATTTGTGGAAATGGAGTCAGAAGTGATATAGTCAGGTTTGGAAGACACTTCAAGAAGTCCACCAAAAATTAATAAAGCTGGCTCCTCAGCCTCAGTTCAAACTTCCTTCTCTTCCCTACGTCCACCAATAGTGAATCACATGACAGGTGTTTCTGTCTCCTCTCAGACCAGTCTGGCTTTAATCTCTTTTCTCCCATTTTGAGTGATTTCTAGTGATTCAAATGTCTGGTTTGGAGAACCTCCTTTAAGCCTTATAGCCTGTCCTCCATGCCAACTGGCCAAGAGAAGCAGGTCAATTACTGGTGGAAAGTTCTGTTGTCAGAAACGTGTCTCATTCAGCCTCAGGACCCACTCCAATCAGGAAGTCTTCCCTGACCCTGTCAGGCAGAGGTGACTGCATCTTCCTGAATGCTCAGCTACTCCTAATTTCTACTCCATCGCATTTACTACCTCACTTGGTTATAAGTATCTCTCCCCCTGCCACTGGCTTGTGAGTTCACTGAGGGCAGGGGCCATGTCAAATCCACTTGGCATTCCTGATGCCTGGCACAATGCCTAGCTCACAGGAAGCATTTGAAAACTTCTTGGATAAGAATGAATGAACAGACATTTCTGAGGGTAGCTTCTTCCTTCTTGACTCCAGCTGGTTGCCCAGGCAAAACCCAGAAAAGGAATGAAACACTTAGTCTTACAGACCCTTGAGTTTTCCTCAATTTCTCGGGCTGTGACTGCAATGGTCTCCACTAGTTCAGAAACATCTATGTCGTCACTCGCCATGCCGATATAAATACAGCTCTTCATACTTTTATACTCAGGGCCTGCAGGAAGAAACAACAGATCAACGTGGTTCCCAAGTCCTCTATTGTGAGTCAGACACGGGCCTGCTCTCCTGTACAACAGCATAAATAACCACGCACCAAGGAGCCTCCCCTATGGGGAGAGGAGAGTGGTTCTAATGAGGAGACGGGAAGCCGGAGAGGCTGCGCAAGGGGAAGGTGATAGGAGCTACCTCACTCTAGGAAAAACTAAACCAATGTTTCCTCCAAAGAGACAGAGCCCATTTTCCTTTAAGCCAGTTAGAAATGGCCTTCCAGAGTTCACAGATGACTTATAAAAGTGGTAATTACCCATTTTAAATGTAAGGTCAGATTCCAGTTCATTTAACTTTTTCAGGAGTCCAGCATGGATTTTTTCCCCTTCTGGATCTAATTTCAAACTGCTCTTATCATCATTTGCATGTTCATACCTATAAACAATATCAAATAACAGTATTTCAATCTCAGAGATCAAATGTCTCTTCAGACACAGGACTGCAGATGGAGCATAGCTGCTAGAGATTACCGAGAATGCAGAATGAGAGAAAGGGGCAAGGGAGCCCCTCAGAGGGTCTCTAGATGGAAAACGGGCAAGACTGTCACAAGGAAAGCCCACATTTCTAGGTCCATGACATTTAGAGAGCGAGGCAAGGTCTGGAAGTCTCATCGTTCATAGCAGAACAAGGAGACTTCCCTCATCCTGAAAGGAGATGGAGAGCAGCCATAGGAAGGTCTGCGCACGCTGACGACACAGGACAGGAGTCTGCTCTGGGGAACTGGCTTCTTTTTCTTAGTGATCTGTAATTCTCTATACACCGTGGACAGTAACTATTTGTCAGTTTATACCTGTATGTATCTTCTCCTAGTCACTTATGAGTCGGCACAGAAAAAGAACACACAGTGACTCCTACTTCACTGGGTACAGCAGCAGGCCAGCCGCCTGCTGTGCTTTTGTAAATGCCCAGAACATCCAGTTGAATTTTCATTAGACATGTACTGTGACTACACGTATTCATCTTAGATTTCTAAGCTGGTTCACAAATGACCCACCCATGGTCTTCATACAGCAAAGAGAAACTCACAGCAGGTGGCAGGCTGAAACCGTACCTGACAACCCCTATTCCAGGCCAGTTAGGGTCATCCACGTATAGGAGCCCTGTGGTTCCTGTCACTTCCTGCTTGAACTCCTCCCGCAGCTGCAGTGTGCAGGTCAGGACCGGCAGCTTGCTCTGTATGCAGGCTACGAGCTGATCCACATCCTCTCCCCGAGTGCCTAAAACTGACAACGTTCACAGAATGTTAAAGACAGGCTTGAGGAATGGCTGAAAATGAGAGGGTAGTGCTCCCACATCCACTCTCAGGAAGGTCAACAGCTCTAGGTATACCCCATTAGCTGGAGTTGAGGAGTTAAAAAAAAAAAAAGCCATAAAACTCAGATATGGAAGAATCAGTTGCCCAGGCAAAACCCAGAAAAGGAATGAGACACTGATTAGTCTTAGAGACCCTTGAGTTTTCCTCAATTTCTTGGGCTGTGACTGCAATGATCTCCACTAGTTTAGAAACATCTATGTTATCACTCGCCATGCCAATGTAAATACAGTTAAAAATTATTATAGCCGGCTGCTTCAGGTGTAGACACAATTTTTTTCTTACACAGAAGACAGAATTAGCCCCTCCGATTTAATACACAATGAAAATTTAATGTAGAAATCAGATTCTTCTCACAGAAAGACTGCTTAATATGTCAGGCTATAAACATCATCTTATCACAGATTAAAAGCCAAGAGGCAACCAGACAGTTCTCTCTCTACATTAACATCATGGGGAGAAAGAGGGATTGTGGCGGGTTTGTGGTGGGGAGGCAGGAAGGGCAGGGTGATGACAACAGTACCCAGTCATTTCTGAAGGTCAGCCTGAGTGGTCTCGGGGCTTCCGGGCTCCAAGAGTCTTGGCAACATCACTGCTCCCTCCCTTCTGGGGACTCAAACGTTGTATGTGACCTCACTGAGCCTCAGTGCGTGCTGCCTCGGTGTCCTCAGCCTGCTTTCCCAGTTTTAGGGTCTAAGCTGCTGGGGCTGGAGAGCAGAGATTCCTAGAAAGGATCTGGAGGCCACCGGCCATCTTCGTGATGGCTTTTCTTTGCAGGACAAATGCCCGCATTTTCCTACTTTGATGTCTTTGAGAAAATATCTTTCCAAAAATGTTGAAAACATCTCATGACAAACCATCAAACATTTTCTGAAAATGTTTAAATCATCTCAGAAAAAAGCACAGATTTTTAATATATCTGTTTTCAGCTTATTTTTTGAGTCCTGCTATAATATGCCAAGCACGATCTAAGGCATTTCCTATACATGATCTTGTTTTCGTCTTCACATCATGAGGCAGTGGGGAGAGGTCTGCAGATCAAGGAACTTACTCAAGGTCCCACAGGTATGAACTGGCCGAGGGACACGTACCCAGGACTTCTGTCATACAAGTCCACGTACTTTCAGCTATACTGCTTTCGAAAGCGTCTAAAACAGTGGTTCTCTGCCTTTGCTGATCTACTTGAATCACCAGGGGAGATTTAAAAAGTACAGACGCCCAGGCTCCATTCCAAGTAAACCAAGTAAACCAGAACCTCTGTAGGTGGGGCCCAGCCCATGGGAGCTTTGCCAGCTCCACAGGTGATTCTAATGTGCGGTCTGGACTGAAAGCCACTGAACAGAAGAGGAAGGGGTCACAGGACATCAAAACATAGGAATTTCAGTGACTTGACAAGTCTCCATTTCTGAGAAGTTACAGTGGAAGGCTAATCTACCTAAATTTAGTCTGAAAGAAAAGAAAAAGCCTCTCCAAAGAAAGAGAACAGAATATCACAAGGGAAAGCTAATCACGCCCACAGCCTGGACTTGGACAGACATGTCACTGTTGCTCCCCAGATCCATGCAGGCTCGTTACCTGCTGCTGTCATCAAAGGGCTGAACCGCACACACGTGCCCTCCACCTCCAGATCCATGACGGTGAGGCCACTCGTGGGCACCAGCTCTTTCAGCTGTTCTCCCAGCTGCAGGGAAAGGCCAGAGTGAGCCCGCTCCGCACGGAGGGAATCAAGTGTCTTCAGACCCGCCCTTGTCTCCTCAGCCCCGGACCCAAGAGGCTCCTGGAGGGCCAGTTTCCTTTCATCTTGGATTCTCTTTGAACACTTATGGCAACTTCTTTTTTAAAACAGTAAATTTTATATTTTTTATTACTAAAAATACAAGTTCATTGTAGAAAAGTCTAAGAAATACACTTAAACCAAAAGAATAAAATAAAAATTAGCCATAACACACCACTGAGAAACCCCCACTGCTGACAAGCAGTATCCCCACCCTGGGTCTGTGTGTATATGTGTGTGTGTATTTTCTGTTGCTGTCATACAACATGATATTCTACACGCTGGGTAGTAACCTGCATTTTTTCATACAATTTATGATGATCATTTCCCTTCTGCCATAAACATCCAGCTACGTGGTTTATACTGGCTGTTTTGAACGTCACTGGATATACCATAACTTATTCACCAAAGCCCCTAGGGTGGGCATGTCCAGTGTCTTGCTAGGATTGATACCATTGTGGTGAACATCCTTACATTGTTTAGAACATTCTTTACACTAAAATCCCGGAGGTACAATTTGAGTGTCAAAAGGCAGCCGAAGCATAATGCCTGTGATCCGTATGGCCAGACGAGCAGAGGTGCTCAGGGCTCTCTGGCTTCCGTGCCTTCTGACACTGCTACAGACGCTCACTGGCACTCCCGAGGGGCTGCACTGCAGTCCACATTTGCCTGTTGTTTTACAGCCTTCATGGCAGCCAGGAAATGGTCACCAGAGGGAACGATGTTGAAAGGACCCGCCAGAAGTCCAGCAGTACGAGAAGCGGTGATCTGATTAAGAACCCCAGAACAAAGCCCAGCACCCTCACAGGAGGCTCTCTCCCGTGGGTCTGATTTCCAGACGTGACCACACGTTATCCTGACCATCTGGGATGCGGAAGAAAGAACCCAGGACCGCCATTCTTACCCAGCGATTCAGTGCATCGCAGGAGTGTCTCTCCCAGCCGACTGCTGAAGGTGCCATGTTGGGCACTGGGACAGCATTAAGCACTGGATCTGACAGCAAAACACAGAAAGGGGACTCACCTCCCAGAAACACAGCTACCTAAAACACATACCCTTCCCAGCCCATTCCACTTAGCTCCCAACATCAATCTGAGGGAAGAGTCTCAAATATTACAGAAATCAAATGTATCTCTCACAATGAACGGATAAACAAAATGTGCTATACACATACAATGGAGTATTATTCAGCCTTAACAATGAAGGAAGTTCTGTCACATGCTCAACATGGATGAACTTTGAGGACATTATGCTAATCGAAATAGGCCAGCACAAAAGGACAAATTCTGTATGATTCTACTTATATGAGGTACCTAAAGTAGTCAAATTCATAGAGACAGAAAGAACGGTGGTTGCCAGGGGCTGGTGAGAGGAGCGGGGAATGGGGAGTTGGTGTTTACTGGGTGTGGAGCTTCAGTTTTGCAGGATGAAAAAGTTCTGGAGAGCGCTTGAACAACAATGTGCAGATATTTTAACACTGCTAAACTGTATACTTAAAATGGTTAAGATGGTCAATTTATGTGTTTTTTTACAATTGAAAATTTTTACAAAATGTATATTCACACAAATAGAATTCTTAATTTCATTTAAAAAGTTTTTCTTTCAAGGAATTTCGAGAGGAAATCAAAGCATAATATTATAAGTTACTAACTAGCCTACCAAGTAGTGTGCAAGGTAAATCAGAGAACCCAAGAGCATCCAAACCAGGCTTCCCAACAGAATTATCCTCTTTCCTTGAATGGTCTGGGTGCCTGCTCGTGCAGGTGCTGTGTGAGCAGACAGGGTGCCTGTCATTTTGGTGTTTACATTCTATTGAAGGAATACCATTAAGAAAGAAAGGATGGGCCGGCCCTGTGGCTTGGTGGTTAAGTGCGCGCGCTGCGATGCTGGTGGCCCGGGTTCGGATCCCGGGTGCGCATCGAGGCACCACTTCTCCGTCCATCCTGAGGCCGAGTCCCACATACAGCAACTAGAAGGATGTGCAGCTATGACATACAACTATCTACTGGGGCTTTGGGGGGAAAAAATTAAATAAATAAAATCTTTAAAAAAAAAAAAAAAAGAAAGAAAGGAAATCACGACATATTATTGTGAGTGCCCTGAAAGAAGGTGGGCACTCGGACATAATATGAGGGAGTCCCCTTAGGACAGACAGAGAAGGCCTCTCTGAGGAGGTGGACATCATGGAGACCCGGCTGGTAGGGAGAAGCCAGCCTAAAGAAGAGGGAGGGAAAACATGTTAGAGGCAGAGGGAACTGCAGGTGTAAAGGTCTTGCTCTAGCAAAGAGCAGAATGTTCTAGAAACTCAGAGACCAGTCTGACTGAAGCATAGCAAGCAAGAGGGAAAGTGGCCTAAGAGGAAGTCAGAGAGGAAGGTAAAGGCTAGAACCTGCAGGGCTTACAAGGCCTAGGACAGAGCCAGGGCCTCATTCAGATACCGAGGACTGCCGGGCATGGAAGTGACAAGACGTGCCTTCCACTCAGAACACTCACTCTGCATGCCACGTGGAGAATGGTCTGGCATGGGGTGTGTGGAAAAGGCGGAAGTGAGAGATCAGTTGAGGGGGACTGCGGCTGTCTAGGTGAAGAAAAATGTTGCCCTGGACTAGACTGGCACACTTGGAACATTCTTTAAAAATAGAGATTCCCAGGGGCCAGCCCAGTGGCGTAGCCGTTAACTGTGTGCACTCCGCTGCGGCAGCCCACGGTTCGCAGGTTCGGATCCCGGGCACACACCGACGCACCACTTGTCAAGCCATGCTGTGGCGGCGTATAAGTGGAGGAAGATGGGCACAGATGTTAGCCCAGGGCCAGTCTTCCTCAGCAAAAAGAGGAAGATTGGCATCGGATGTTAGTTCAGGGCTGATCTTCCTCATACACACAAAAAAATAAAAATTAAAAAAAATAGAGATTCCTGAGATTGGCAACAGATGTTGGCTCAGCGACAATCTTCCTCAAGCACAAAGAGGAAGACTGGCAACAGATGTTAGCTAGGGCCACTTTTCCTCACCAAAAAATAAAAATAAAAAACATAATAAAAAAATAGAGATTCCTGGATCCAACCCACTCAATCAAAGTATCTCTAGGAAGCAGGGCCCCCAAATCTCTATTTTCAGGTGACTCTCTCTCATTCATCCCAGCACTAGTCCAGAGACCAGCATTTGGAAACCACTGGTTTAATCATAGGAAACTATCAGTGAAATGCTAAGGCACTTAGGTCTGGAGTTCTTGTGAAAATTACTAAATTTTTCTGAAATGATGACTGAAGATTTTAGTAAGCAAAATATTTTGGACTACTTGAAATAGTTTAAAATTCAAAGCCCTTAAACACAGATACAAAAACAACTCTCTTTTATAAATCACCTACCTGAGCCTGGTAATTCCTGGAAGAATCTGAACACCACTACTGGAGAACTGAGCTCATCTTCCACCTGAAAAATGGAGGCTGATATTACCAGGTAACATTAAATTCTGATCACCTACAAAATGACACAGTGAGTTTGAAAAACAGGCTAGAGATGTTGTATTTTCTTAATAAATACATAAAAAGTTCAAACGTTAATTTCAGTTGCTAGAGAAACAAAAATCAAGAGTTTGTGAAAATTCTTACAAATAATTATAAGCCAGTTCTGAGAATATATTGCTGAATTATAATATTTGACACTGAAATTAAAGCAGGAGGAAATTTTAATAACAATGGATAAACATAGGTCTAACATTAAAGATCAAAAAACGCAAGGAAAAAGTAGAACGAGAACCAGTGTTGAGAAAGCCAAAGCTTTCAAGAATCCAGAAATTATACTAACTCAAGCAGGACTGACTGGAACTTTTTATACCCATGGGAAAAACAGAACAAGTACTTTCCTCTCACCTTGTGAAACCCTCAGAGCAGGATACAAGTCCTGCTGGCAATGTAGATGACACTTTCTAGAACTGAATCTACATATTTTCTAAATCACCGAAGCAGTACTTATATTCAGGACAGGCATCAGACAACTAACTTCATTAACGGATTTCGTAACAGATGAAAACGTTCACTGCATTAAGATAAGCCAGCACTTAAGTTCATGCTCTCCACTGAACAAATGTACAGTCGGCCAACAGCTTCACCATGTGGTCAGGCTACAAAGAGAGTGGCAATGCCCTTGACAGACTGGTACTTGGGGGTGGGGAGGGGGCATGGGGAGAGAAGATCTCTAAGCATTCAACAATTCCAGGACTACAATTCTAGGCGTAAAACCTATGTGTGATGTCTCACTCATAGGCCACAACAGGAAATGCTAACTTGGAAAGACAGGAAGTTGTTGGCCCAAGATCTTCTCTACTAACTTTTCCAAGAACTACATGGATGTGATTCAGATCAAGCAAGATGTACATTCAAATCTGCCAATTATTTATTGAGCCAATCCTTGGGCTTTCACATCTATTAGCTCCTTTAACTTTCACATAAACAAATCTACTAATATTTTTAAAGTTAGGGGGGCTTAATATTTAAATAGAATGGAGTAAGCCCTATAAGGAAATAGAAACAAAAGCAACAAAATTCTAGACCCATTACCCCCCTATTCTCAGGATAAGGCAGAATGATTTGAGTGCCAAGACTTCTATATACTGTCTTTTGTTTCTTATTTCTTTGAGCTTGGTGGTCTCAAATGTCAGTGTGCATAAGAAATACTGCACAGGGTTATATACATAGAATTCTGGTTCTAGCAACATGTAGACTAAGCTAATACCGAAGTCATCAATTCTAAGTACGTAAAATGCTGGATTAAACATAACCAATAACCAAAAAAAATTTTAAACCATTGCTGGGCTTAGAAAAAAGGTGAATCCAGAACAAAGAGAAAACAGAAAGAATATTGCAGGCTGAGCTGTAGAGGCTGGGGAGAGGGGAGCACATATGGGCCTGGACCTTGGCTTGAACGTCGAGGGTCTTGGGTTTTTAGGCCCATGGGAGGGACGGTGGTGAGTGTGCATAAAGCCAGGACCCTGGAAGAATACTCCTTACTGAAAAGATGGAGAGAAAAACTCTACCCACTGACCAGCAAGAAAGCTCAACTCTGCCTGTGGATGTGTACAGGGAGGAAAACATCCTCTCATGAGAAATCAAAACGTCAGGTGTGCTCTGCACCTGGACTTGATGTCCCAATGTGGTACAGGATTCCTAAAGCTGTGAAACTAACATAAATAAGTATACTGAGGCCAGTCACACAAGAAAAAAACATCCAGCTCCTAATAAAAAAATTACAACACACCCAGGGAGCAAGAGCCAGCAGACACAACTGAGACGATGATTTGTGCCCCCAAGAACTGAAATACTAAAATAATCTGAAATAGACCATAACAACTACGTTTAAATAGAGAAATGAGGAACCAGAAACCAGTAAAAAAAAAATGATTATAAAAGAGAGAATGACTCGAAAAAGAGAACATCCTGAAGTGAAGAGTCACTGAAAGTGAAAATGCAGTGAAGATGGGTTAAATAGCAGATTAGAGGCAGCTCAAGAGGAAATCACTGGACTCAAACAAAGGTCTGAAGAAATGCGCTAGAAGGCAGCAAAGTGATAGAGACGGAAAGTATCAAAGAGACTGGTGGAAGATGGAATGACAAGGTTCAATATGCAGCTAACTGAAGTTTCAGAAGGTAAGACTAGACAGAGAGGTCATATTTGAAAGAATGAATTTTACAGAATTGATTAAAAAAATTGAATCTTCAGGTTAAATAAGCACATGTCCCAAGCAGGATTTTTAAAAAACCCCTCACTTAGAGATATCACGGTGAAAGTAGCAGAACACTAAAGACAAAGAAAATCCTAAAAGCCAGCAGAGATGTAAACAGAAAATCATGAAAACTGGCATTTTGGGATTTTCCCCTTGCATGTTACTTTAGAATGTCCCCATGTGCGGGATAGGAGTCCAGTAAAATAGCAGCCTGTCCGCAGCTGCTGAGGAGACCTGGATTGGTACACTGACAAAGCAGTTCACAAAGGCCACCTGGGAACCCTGGAAAAGGCCTCAGTGCTGGTGCTGGTGAGCTGGGGGAGCGGGTCCGTTTCTGGGATGTGAGAGACTCCTGAAGGGCCGTCCAGATGGGAAGGAGGGCGGCCCATGGGAGCTTGGAGGAGGGAGTTACTGTGCAGTGGATACGGCTATTCTGAGGTAACGTGGGTTCAAGTCCTGGCTTTGCCATGTGCGAGTTATGGGACTCTGGCACAGAACTAATCTGAGCAACAGAAATGGAAATGACAACTCTACCACAGTGACGTATTGTGAGGATTCGATCACTCAGTATCTATGAAAGCGCTATACAGATACTATGGTGAGAGCAGCAAGACATTTAGTAATGACATTTTCTGATGCCTTACAATCTCCGTTTTGCTTTCCCATACATTATCTGATCTGCCCTTCCTAAGGAGCCACTGAGGCAGGACAGATATTAATTTCACCTGTAGACTGACCTGAGCCAGAATGTCCTCTGATCAAGAACACAGGCTTTGGGGCGTGAATCCCAGCTCTACCACTTCCTAGCTGTGTGGCCTGGGCCACTCACTTAACCCATCTGTGCCTTAGTTTCCTCACCAGTAAAAAGCGAACAGCCATTGCATCCAGTGCATAGATTTGATTTAGTCACACTTGAACACCTATGCCAAGTACTGTTCTCGGCACAGGACCACGAAAAAACAGAAAGACAAAAGTCCCTGCCTTTACAAACTTCTGAAAGGAAAAACAGACAACGAACAAATATATAATATGAATTCGGGTAGTAATAAGTATGACAAAGAAGGAAAAACCTAGGGATAGAGTGATCGATGGCCGTGGGGCTGTTTTAGATAGGGCGGTCAGGGAAGGCCTCTCTTAAGAGGTGATATTTGAACTAAGATCTGAAGCATAAGAAACCAGTCATGAAAAGAATTGAGGGGAACAGTGTTTCCAGGCAAAGGGAACAGCATGTACAAAGGAGACTGTTGTGAGGGTTACATGAAATAATGCATGTAAGGTATTTAGTACTGTGCATAGTACACAGCAAGCATTTCACAAACAGCAGCTATGATGATGAGGATGATGATAAACGATTACTGTCAGGTCACAGTGCTTCACAGTGTTTGCCAATTATTGTATCCTCTACTGAGAAAGGCAGCTACTGGAAGACAGGATGGAGCAGCGTTTATGCCTTGTCAGTATGTGGCCTTACAAAGATGCTCCAAACCAAACGGTGATTAACTAGCCCTATCCGACCCTCCCTGCTTGGAGGAGAATGAGGGAGAAGTAGAGAGGACATGAGGAGGAGCCCAAGCAGGCTCAGCAAGGGAGGGACAGAAAGCACACAGGCCCAGCATGGCCTTGATGCCTACCAGCTTGCTCATTCTAGTCCGTAATTTGAGTTTCTCTGTTTGCAATCAAAGGAGTCCAACTCACACACCTTTACTGACAGCTCAGCTCCCAGGCTTAGGCGGTTAAGAGAATGACTCAATGTCACAGGGCCCCCGTGGTGTGGCTGAAATAGAATCCAAGTCTCCTGACTTACATTCATCCCTCTGCTTCTCCAGGGGGCCACTCTCCTCTTCCAAGCGAGAACTCGGGTCAACTCAGGTCAACCGAGTAGGCTCCCAGCTCCTCCTCAGAGAGCAATGCCGGCAGCCCCCCCACCCCCACCCCGGCGCTTAAATAAACCACCCACTAAAATGGAAATAAACTGCATGCACTAACTTGAACCCCCAATAAACTCAAATATTAGTTTTAAACTTAACTGCAGTATCCTGCAGAATTGTCAAAGAAACACCCAGTCACTCTATTTAAATTAGAATCTGACTTATATATTTCCTGAAATTCTAAAATACAATGAAGTAAAACATGAAAAGATTCAAACCAGAACTGACACTGGCTATTAGCCCCACTGAGTCCTCATTTCCTTGTCTAGTAATTATCCCCAGGGAGTGCTCTCAGATAGGTTCTGGTGTCTTTAGGAAGATACCACGGGAAGACAAGAGCAGAGCCACTTGCCTCTCTCTTCCTTATTCCTCTTTGTGCAAAGAAAAACTCCAGCGTCAGAGGGTTTCAGAAAGAGTAGCCCAAGGCATTCTGAGAGACAAAATGAGTTTTCATTTCAGGAGGATGGGTGTTCTAAAATCGCTGGGCAGGTGAAGTCAATGGTGTTTATTAGATCTTTGTGCAATTCTAAATTTTAACAGAATAAAACTACAAATGGATTATGATGAAAAGCACTGTAGGGGTCAAACAACATATGGTGCAAATTTCTAGGCTTTATGCTAACTGCAGAATTAGGTCATCAGTACATGCACGATTCTCCTCCAAAGAATGTAGTTTTACTGGAGCTGCCACAATTCCACTGAAATGCATCCAATGTGCAGAAAATCATGCTAAGGTGTTGAAGTTAAAAGCTATTTACTTCAAAAACAAATCAAATTATATACTCTACCAAGATTTTGATGTGGTTCACTTTCTTCAAACTTTCTTGCAACCGCTGACTCTGAAAATGACAAAAAACAGCTATGTAATTTCATTTGATTGACACAACATATTAAGAAGCGGTTTTCATGAGGGTCTCTGCATGTCTGCAAACAAGGATCTCAGGGAGATAAAGCCCTGTGCAACCTGGTGATTTCTAAGTCTGGCTGCCAATTTTTGCATTTCAACATCTGCAAATATTCCCCAGTCTTTCAGTTAAAAGGTACATTTAGTGGTTCCAAAAAAGCTTATTCTAATGAGACACGTGAATTTGTCAAATTAGCAATATAAGTCATTCACTCATTCAAAACTACTGAGTGCAAGGCAACAAAAGCAAAAATCAACAAGTGGGACTACATCAAACTAAAAACCTTCTGCACGGCAAAGGAAACCATTAACAAAGTGAAAGGGAACTTACAGAATGGCCATACAGAAGGTACAATAGGTACATCAAAAGATGCTCAACATCCCTAATCATCAGGGGAATGCAAGTCAAAACCACAATTAGATATCACCTCACACCTGTTAGAACAGCTATTATCAAAAAGACATAGTGTTGGAGAGGGTATGGAGAAATGGAACCCTTGCGCACAGCTGGTGGGAATGTAAACTGGTGCACCTACTATAGAAAATAGTATGGAAGTTCCTCAAAAAATTAAAAATAAAACTGTCATATGATCCAGCAATTCCACTTCTGGGTATTTACCTGAAGAAAACAAAAACACTAATTCGAAAAGATAATCTGCACCCTCATGTTCACTGCAGCATTATTTACAATAGCAAGATATGGAAACAACCTAAGTGCCTATCAATGGATGAATAGATAAAGAAAATGTGATACACACACACACACACACACACACACAGGAATATTATTCAGCCATAAAAAAGCATGAAATCTTGACATTTGTGACAACATGGATGGACCTTGAAGGACTTATGCTAAGAGAAAGACACACACTGTATGATCTCACTTATATGTGGAATCTAAAACAAAACAAGAAGCTCATAGCTACAGAAAACAGATTGGTGATTGCCAGAGGTGGGAGGTTGGGGGGGGTCAGCGAAATGGGTGAAGGGCGTCAAAAGATACAAATTTCCAGTTGTAAAATAAGTAAGTCGTGGGGATGTGATGTACAGCATGGTGACTATAGTTAATAATACTGTATTGCATATTTGAAAGTTACTGAGAGAATAAATCTTAAAAGTCTTCATCACAAAAGAAAAACTATTTTTCTATAACTAGGTATGGTGACAGATGTTAACTAGACTTATTACTGTGGTGATCATTTCACAATATATACAAATATTGAATCATTATGTTGTATACCTGAAACTAATATCATGTTATATGTCAATTATACCTCAGTAAAAAAAAAAAACTACTGAGTGCAAATGTGTGCAAGGCACAATACCTGACACTGGGGGAGGAGGAGGAGCAGAGATACATGAGAGAGGACAGCACTGTTAAGAGCGGGTCAGGAACATGGGGTCTGGAATAGCCACACCTGGGTTCAAAACCTGGCTCTCCCACTTATCACCTGCAGGACCATGGATAACTTACTTAATCTGCCAGTTACTAGCTATGACCTGGGACAGGTTCTTTAGCCTCTCTACGCTTCAGTTCCCTCAACTATCAAATGGGAATGATAGTATCTATCTTACAGGGTTGTTATGAAGACGAAATAAGTCGATGTATGGTAAGTGTGTAGAACATGGTATGCATCATGTAAGTGACAACTACCGTCCTCACCAACACCATCATCATCCTTACATTAATACCTCAATCCCAGTTCTCCTACCACTGATGTGGGAATGAAACAGTATCTACCTCATTAGGTCGGAGTTCATTAATTCAACAGATATTTATTGAGTGTTAAACACTGAAAACCCCCCCATGAAAACGAATTCTTAATATGTTATCAGTGGACCTTAAGTTCTAGTGAAGTTGTGGGGATCGAATGCGACAATGCATGTACAGTGCTTCAGAGTGCTTGGCACTGAGTAAGTGCTCAATAACCATGTCCCATGAAGCTAAAGATGAAGATGACACCGCTAAGAAGGAAGAAGAGGAGGAGGAGGACACTGATTTTTGCTCTCAGGGAACCTACACCTGGTATGGAATATGAGGCATGAATGGACACACATAACTGCACCTGCTAAATTTCCATGCAGTTTAACATGTGCATTTAGCAGTGGTGAGTCAGCAACAGGCCATCACTCAAGCCCTCAAGAGGATTTGAGATCAGCTACAGTGTTTGCTTGCAGGAAGATGCCAGAGCTGCAGCGACCTCAAGGGTTTGGGAGTTAATGTCATCATTATTTTCCTGCAGTCTGTAAGCCAAAGGGAACTGAAAACACTCTCCCTTGAGTGCTCAAACCTTCCCCAAACTGATGAAGTTACTATGGCAATAAAGGCTTCTCTTTCCGAAGAACCCAACCTCAAGATGTGAGCCAGCAGCCCAGTGAGAAAACGTCTTAAAAAATGTGGGGCTTTCATAAACATAATGAACATAAATCTTAAAATTGTTTAATGTAAACATGAAACTACTTCATTTAGAATAGTTTCTAATGAAATAGAAACAATGTTAGAATGAACTATCCTCACATTACAAACCGAAGGACTACTGCTACAATAATACGAAAATAGTAATTTTTCTTAAATACAAAAACGACACTAGAGGAAGTGCCAATTCCCCAAGAATATATTTAAAACAAAGATTTCTTCTTCTTTTTTTGTTGTTGCTAAGGAAGATTCGCCCTGAGCTAACATCCATTGCCAATTTTCCTCTTTTGGTTTGAGGAAGATCATCCCTGAGCTAATATCTGTGCCAATCTTCCTCTATTTTGTATGTGGGTCCCCACCACAGCATGGCCGCTGACAAGTAGGTCCGCGTTTGGGATCTGAACCCCGGCCACCAAAGCAGAGCATGCCAAACTTAACCACTAGGCCATGGGGCTGGCCCCCAAAGATTCCTTTTCAAACCTATTTGCATTACTGTATGACTAGGCACTACTGTAAGAGCTTTTTTTTTTTTTTTTTAAAGATTTTATTTATTCAGTTTTTTCCCCCAAAGCCCCAGTAGATAGTTGTATGTCATAGGTTCACATCCTTCTAGTTGCTGTACGTGGGACTCGGCCTCACGTTGGACGGAGAAGTGGTGCCTCGGGGCGCTCCCGGGATCCGAACCCGGGCCGCCAGCATCAGAGCGCGTGCACTTAACCGCTAAGCCACGGAGCCGGCCCTGTAAGAGCTTTACATGTATGAACTCATTAAGTCCCCATAAGGATCTCTGGTTACATCATCATCCCTATTTCACAGGGAAGGAAATGAGGTAGAGGGCTGACATTATGCTTTTAGACTTAGGTATACTCAGCTCTCAACCTGCATAAACATGACATGTTTTTGCTTTCTAAACTATAGCATAATTACATATTTTTCACAATTAGAACACCTCAAATAGAAAGAGAATTAGAATTGTCCCTAGAGCCTTGCAATTTGGAACCCAAGCCAGCTGGTGTTAAAAATATACATGCCATCCACATTCCACCCTGACCATCGTATTCCTTTACCCTCAAGAGTCAGGCAGTCAAGTGGAACATTTATCCCCCTTTTGCGTCCTTTTCCACTCCCCGGCTGTCATCTCATCCCCGCTGACACCAGCCTTCATTTCAATCTGATTTCATTTGGACACAAACACTGGGACAGCCCCAGCAGTCTCTCCCAGAACTTTGAATAAGAAATGTACACCTACAGGGCAATTAGTCTGCCTTCTCATGAGATGAGAAATCCAGACAACAAGGTATTGGGTGAAGGGTAGATCAATGAAGTATTTTTCTGTCTCTGCTTTTGCCATGGAGTATCTGTGACTCATTTAAACTTCAGGTTCCTACTCACCAGTTGACAGGCATGCTTAATCCTCTCCACAATCCCGTCGAGTCCCAAGTATTGTAAAGACAACCACAGTGGCAGGGCACGGAGTTTGTCTGCTGGCTTATTTGATGTAAGTCCGGCAACTAAAGTCTAAAAAAGCCAATATGGGTTTATTAATCAAAGCCAATGAAACCACACAGCAGAATTAACTAGTTATCATTGACTATGCACTGAGTATGTGTGGGATGCTACACCAGGCACTTGGCTTGCATTACTCATTCGATCATCCAACAACTCCGTGAGGGAAGTATTCCTGGCAACTTAGCTCAGAGGCTTTGCTTTGTCCACAGCTTCATGGCTAAGATGTGGCAAAGCCAGGATGAGAATCCAGATGGGTCACATCCCAGGGCTGGAGATCTCAGCCACTCAAGAGGCAGCCTCTTCCAAGGCTGTTCTGAGGCCCTCAAATCCCTGGCCATAATCAGCTGAGCAAGAACTTAACTGGTTTAGCAAGAGTCATGTAAAGCTTATTTTGCATGTGCCTATCACTAATTGATCCACTATCAAGAACCACCGCCATGCTTTAAAAAAACATATCATGTTACAGCCTTCTAGATAATGTGGATCACATGCTTTAACTACTCTGACAGTAATGCCACTTTTGGAAACCTAGTCTAAGGAAACAATTTGAAATACAGAAAGATGCTCATTATTTCAGTAAGAAAAATTTGAAAACATCCTAAAAGTTCACAAATGGAGAATGATTAAATAAACTGTGGTATTTAAGTGATAGAACATTATGCAGTCATGAATGTCATAAAAAGTTCTTCATACATGTGGGGAAATATGAGGAGAATAACAGAAAAAATACATATGGTACAGTTTCACTTATGTTAAAAATACTCTTTTCAGGGCCAGCCCCGTGGCGTAGCAGTTAGGTGCACACACTCCCCTGCGGTGGCCCGGGGTTCGCAGGTTTGAATCCTGGGGGTGCACCAGTGCACCGCTTGTCGAGCCACGCTGTGGCAGTGTCCCATATAAAGTAGAGGAAGACGGGCACAGATGTTAGCCCAGGGCCAAGCTTCCTCAGCAAAAACAGGAAGATTGGCAACGGATGTTAGCTCAGGGCTAATCTTCCTCACCAAAAAATAAATAAATAAATACTTTTTTGAAAAAAAAAAAAAAAAAAAAAAGTCATAGAAGTGGCATTAAGGAGACTTTTCACTTTTTCCTTTGTTTTTCCATATTTTGCCCCCAGACCCAATAGTGATTATCAGCCACTCCTCACTCCCTCACAGTGAGAGTGAGCTTACCAAGGCAGGATCGTCGTGTTTATAAAGGGTCACTGCAGGAACAGCCGGCAGACCCAGCCACGGGCCCGGAGTCAACGTCATGCTATCACACTTGGTCGCAGCCTACCAAAAAGAGGACGACTTTTTGTTAGACTATCAGAATACACTAAACCCACACCCTCCTCCGTTCATAAAACCCGTGATAAGCCATCAGGGATTAAGTGATTTTACATTCCTTCTTAAGAACACAGTATTCAGTAAATCAACAACATACCAGCACTGATGAGGAGACATAACCTAGAGCCAATGTTGCCAGATTCACACTGGAAGAAAAAACACCAATCTAAGAACTAATTATTTACTGCTGCTTATTCACTAAGTATGCACTTTCAAAAAAAAAAAGGCTGTGCTGTTCCAAGCTGGCATTTAAATGTCTTTCAGTTGTGTTATTAGTTTTTATAACAGCAACAGAAAATGTGGTGTATACAAATTTCAGGAAAACCTTGAAAATGCATTTTAATCAAAATGTGTTTTAAGGGATGTCTCCTACTTATTTAGTGTAATGTGTGTCTTATTTTATATCTTTCATGGCTATTATTTTCCAGTCATCATTCTTTCCCATAGCGATAAAATAAAAAAGAAACTTACCTCATATGATGTGCGGGGTATGGACTACTTTGGCTGCCCTGCATCCTCTCCCCTGTCTTCTCTTAGCAGCACTCCAACAGCCTTCTGGGAAACCACCCCGATCTCCTCTATCAGACCAGAGCTTTGGGTGGAGGAGACGATACCACTCACTCCAGAGGTGGGCAAGTAACCTAAACTATCAGAGTATTACATTTCCCTGGCCACAGTGAGTGGTTCAGTGTGACACTTTTGCTGGGACTTCTGACCCGCTGGCCACAAACCTGGAAAGAAGGCTGGAGCTGCTGCAGCTACTTTGCACCATAACAGGAGAGTCTATCTACAGATGGAGCCAACATAGAGGAAATTAAACCAAATGACCGGGGGAGAGGGGAGGGAGGAAGACATCGAATCCTGGTCGACGCTGTGCCTCAAGCTAATCCTAGCAGTGGTCTTTTTAGTTATGTGAGTCAATAAAATCTCTTCTTGCTTAAGCCAATTTGGGTTATGTTGTTATTTGGAACCCAAAGAGCCCTTAGTGATAAATGTCACGACCAAGTGAGAGCCTAGATGTCCACTCTTCACGTGGAGCCAGCCACACCCCCGACTCACCCCTCCACGTGAAGCCATATCTCATACTGCTCACAGAGCTCCTTCAAACGCCCAATCTTATCCGTGTGCCCCACTGCTGCAGTTCCTAGGATAAAACACACAAAAAAGGATACTGAAAGGAACAAATATCTTCTGAGTCCTTACGGCATGATAAAAGCTTTCATATATGTTTTCTCCCTATGAGGGAAGTAACATATCTCTGTTTTATTGACATCTTCTCTGTGGATTGGCTTAAAATCAACTTTTGCAAGTTGATTATTCAAGTTTTGAAGAGTGTGTATTTCCGTTACATGTATCTATAAACTCAAGCTTGTTAATAGTGTTATTTAGGGCCGGCCCCGTGGCTTAGCGGTTAAGTGCGTGCGCTCTGCTGCTGGCGGCCCGGGTTCAGATCCCGGGCGTGCACCGACACACCGCTTCTCTGGCCATGCTGAGGCCGCGTCCCACATACAGCAACTAGAAGAATGTGCAGCTATGACATAGAACTATCTACTGAGTCTTTGGGGGGAAAAAATAAATAACTAAAATCTTAAAAAAAAAATAGTGTTATTTAAATCCTCTATATACTTATTTTCTATCTACTTAATCTGTTGTCTCATGAGAAATGTATTCATGTCTCCTGCCAAGATTGTGGGTTTGCTAATTTATACTTGTATCCCCTCAATGTTTCCTTTATATATTTCAAAGTTATGTTCATAAGCATTCATAACTGTTATCTCTCTTAGTAGATTAGATGGAGAATTATTAGCAAATAACATGAAGTCCATTTTATCTCATACTAACATTGTTATAGTACTTTTGTTCTCTTAGTATTTCCCCAAGATATCCTTTTCCTCTCTTACTTTTTGTCACTTTCTGGGTTATTTCTATTTAGGTGTGTACTTTATAAAAAACAAACAGATGAATTTGGGTTTTTTTTAACCCAATTGAAGAGGTTTTTGTTTTAAAATAGAACATGCATTCTGAAGTCAGTTTAAACCTATTAAACACTTTAACCCATTCCCTTGGTTATTTGTTTACACTACAGGCTTTGCTGGGCAGATCCCTCTTCACAGAGCGTAAGTAAAATGTGGAATCATGTATTCTGCCAACTGTCCTAAATTTCCAGTTAGCAGAATCCCACCTAACAAGATTTCAAACCTCACCAACTACCTCAACAAACACAACTAATGGAACTGGTTCTTTTGCAGGGTTTATGCCACACACACAAGTCTGTCTCAAATTAAAAAAAAATCTTAACTGACACATTTGGTTTAGTTGAAACAAGATCAAAGGCCAATGCATGGGTTGTGTCATATGACCCATCCATCAAAACAAAAAGCATAGCGCTGTCTTTTAGTGACTGGACCACGTTCATTGTCTTTTCACGTTTTTGGCAATGTCTGCTGGCTAACCCCTGGGATGCGTACTCTGGCGACGTCCCAGAGTCTCCTAAGTCATTCAGTCACTCAGTCACATGTGAATTGCAGACTCTCTCATCTATCAAGTGATTGAATATGGGTACATTTATGTTTCTTTTTAAACATACAATATGCTAAGTCAGGAAGGAAGGTGTGGTTTTCCTGCTAGAAATAAGGTGTTTAAGTGTTTTTTCTCTTTATTATTATCTTTTAAATAATCAGCCTTATTGATTGAAGTATAATTTACACACGATAAAATCCACTCATTTCAGTGTATGGTTCAGTGAGTTTTGACAGAAGTATGCAGTGTGTGACCACCCACACAATCACGGTAGAGAATATTTCCACCACCCCAGATGGTCCCCATCCTGAAGTTGCACTCTTCTCTCCACTCCTCACTGGCCGCAGATAATCCTGATCTGTTTTCTGCCACTGTAGTTTTGTCTTTTTTAGAATTGCATATAAATGGAATCAAACACTACGTAACTTCTTTTGTGTCTGGCTTTTTGCACTTAGCATGCTTTTGAAATTTCATCCACGTTGATATGTATATCGGCAGTTATTTCCATTTATTGCTTAGTATCCCAAGATATGGCTGTACCACAATTTGTTTATCCATTCACCCAGGGAAGGATATCTGGTTGCTTCCAGTTATGAATACTGCATATAGTTCTTTGTGTGGACATATGTGTTCATTTCTCTTTGATACATACCTAGAAGTGGGACTAATAGTTCATATGGTAATTCTATATTTAGCCTTTGAGGAACTGCCAAACTCTCTTCCAGAGTAGCTGTACATTATTTGCATCCCTGCCAGTACTGTCTGCGAGTTCCAGCTGCTCTGCATCCTCACCAGCATGTGGCACTGTATTTCTTCCAGATATGGCATAGCAGCTCACTGTGATTTTAATTTGCATTTCTCTAATGTCTAATGATGTTAAACATCTTTTCAAGTCGTTATACATTCATATTTTTTTTGGTGGTGTCTATTCAAATATCTTGTTCATTTAAAAAATTGTATTGTTTGTCTCAAACAATAATGTACAACAAAAATTTCACAATAAAAAAATTGTATTGTTCGTCTCAATATTGAATGGAAAAACTTATTTATGTATTTTGGGTACAGTCCTTTGTCAAAAAAATGTTCTGCAAATATTTTCTCCCAGTCTGTAACTCGTCTATTTTCTTAACAGGGTCTTTTGAACAGCAAAAGATTTTAATTTTTGATAAAGTCTAATTTATTGTTCATGCCTGTTACGTCCTAAGAAATCTTTGCCTAACCCAAGGTCACAAAGATCTTCCACATTTTCTTCTAGAAGTTTTACTGTTTGGGCTCTTATGTTTGGGTCTATGAACCACTTTTAATTAATTTTTGTATATAGAGTGAGGTAAGGCTTAAGGCTCATTTTTTTTCCATATGGATATCCAATTGTTCCAAGCCCACTGGTAGAAAAGACTATCCTTTCTTCCTTGAATTACCTTGGCATCTTTGTAAAAAAGTCAAGTGACCATATACATGTGAGTCTATTTCTGAACTCGCTAATCTCTTCAGTTAATCTCACGTGTTCTTGATTTGTTAGCTTTATAGTAAGTCTAAAAGTCAAATAGGGTAAGTCTTCCAATTTTGTTCTTTTTCAAAATTATTTTGGCCATTCTTAGATCCTTTGTATATTTGTATACATTTTAGAATCAGCTTATCAATTCTGTAAGAAATTGTAGCCTGCTGAGATTTTGATAGGGGTTGAGTTATATCTATAGATTAATTTGGGGGGATGTGACTTAACAATATTGAGTCTTCCAACCTATACACGTGGCATCATTCCATTTATTTGGGTCCTCCTGAATTTCTCTCAGCAACATTTTATAGTTTCCAGTGTACAGATCTTTCATGTATTTTGTTAAATTTAGCCATGAAGTTTTCATTTTTTTGATGCTATTATGAATAGCATTTTAAATTCACTTTCAATTGTTCATCGCTAGTATATAGAAATCCTGCAACCTTGACAGATTCGCTTATTAGCTTCAATGGCTTTCCTTGGTTTCCTTAGCACTTTCTATCTATACAATCATGCCACCTGCAAATAGAGACAGTTTATTCTTCCTTTCCAATCTGTATGTCATTTAATCATTGTTCTCGCCTTATTGCACTGTCTAGAGCTTCAGGTACAATGCTGAATATGGTAAGCAGAGTAGAAAGTGGTAGTTGACCTGCTGTCTACAAGGTGGACATTTTTTTTTTTTAATTTATTTTTTCCCCCAAAGCCCCAGTAGATGGTTGTATGTCATAGCTGCACATCCTTCTAGTTGCTGTGTGTGGGACGTGGCCTCAGCATGGCTGGAGAAGCAGTGCGTCGGTGCGCGCCTGGGATCCGAACCCCGGGCCGCCAGCAGCGGAGCACGCGCACTTAACCACTACGCCACAGGGCCAGCCCAAGGTGGACATTTAAGTGTGACATTTTAAAAATCAATTTAGAAAGGAAGCACATGAAGAAGTAGAGAAGCACTTACAACCTAAATGAAAAAGTATCCACATACCAACAAAATAACTCCCCAAACAAACCAAAAATTAAAGGGAATCTAATGAGCCAACTATAGTATTATAATTCTCACCACAATGCTGATACAGACTATCTTAAACATGTGGTGCACAAACATTTCTTAAGACTTGGTCTTTTTTAGGCTAAGTACCTAGCCTCTCTCTTATATGTCCAAAATGGAAGATTCCAGTTCATGATACTTACCAGCATTTGCAACAAGCAAAAGGGGCAGTTTTCCTTGTTCTATATCTTCTTTAATCAGTTTCTCCAGGAAGGCAACATCCTGGGATTAAAAGACAAACCACAAAAACATGAGGCAATCAGCATAAAAGCTATACAATGAAAAATTATAACTTCCAAAAGAAGATGATTCTCAAAATTAATCACAATTCTTATTCTTGACTATTTTTCTCTTTTCTCTAATCACAGATGTAAAAATCAAATAGTTTTTCTTGAAGACTAACTAAAAAAATCAGTGAAATGAAATTAAAGTTAAAAACTGAATATACAGGACCAAGACTCCTCTAGTTTTTAACATTTATGTTTAAGAAAATGTTCTCTCAACCCCCAAAAAACAGCCAAAAATGTATCTCTAATGTTACTCATTGATGTACCTGAACTAGAAAAATCAAACTACCTTGAAAAGAAAGATACAATATTATATTAGTTTCAAGCATATGTCAACTATACTTTAATTAGAAAAAAAAGAAATCAGAATCCTAAAACCTTATCCCTTTTGCTTCTGGCTTCAGTAGGGAAAGGCTTATCACTTGCACACCTAAAAATAAGTAGAGGGGCCAGCTGGGTGGTGTAGTGGTTAAGTTTGTGCGCTCCGCTTTAGCGGCCTAGGGTTTGCAGGTTCAGATCCCAGGCACGGACCTATGTACTGCTCATCAAGCCATGCTGTGGTGGTGTCTCACATACAAAACAGAGGAAGATGGACAAAGATCTTAGCTCAGGGCCAATCTTTCTCATCAAAAAGAGGAAGGTTGGCAACGGATGTTAGCTCATGGCCAATCTTTCTCACCAAAAAATAAAATAAAATAAAAATAAGCAGAATTCAATCCCAATACTATAATGAAGAACCTCATTTTAAAAATCTGCCAATTCATAAACCCAGGCAACAGTGATAATCATTTTGAAGGAATTTCTGGTGCTTAATTGGATTCCATGTTTCCACTTAAAGCAGGTGATATAGTGATTACAAGATTCCTTAAGAGCCAAGTGCTCCTGACCTATATACTAGCCAACCTTCATGGACATTCAAATCCGGAAGCATGTAGTATGCAATGGGAAGATCTAAGCAATAAATGAATAAGCTACTAATTATCTGGAGGCCAGCAAACAGAACTTCAGTTTAAAGGAAGACATAGTTTCAGGGGGCCGGCCCTGTGGCTTAGCGGTTAAGTGCACGCGCTCTGCTGCTGGCGGCCCGGGTTTGGATCCCGGGCGGGCACCGACGCACTGCTTGTTGGGCCATGCTGAGGCCGTGTCTCACATACAGCAACTAGCAGGATGTGCAACTATGACATACAACTATCTACTGAGGCTTTGGGGAGAAAAAGGGAAAAAAAAAATAAGGAAGAGGATTGGCAATAGGTGTTAGCTCAGGGCCGGTCTTCCTCAGCAAAAAGAGGAGGATTAGCATGGATGTTAGCTCAGGGCTGATCTTCCTCACAAAAAGAAAAAAGGAAGACACAGTTTCAAAACACAATTCCATGTTATTTTACAAACCAAAAGGAGAACTCACCATCTGATGCTGGGATCCAAACATAGTGTTACAGGGCACACGACACAAGCAGGGGAAGGGCAAGCCGAGCTGTAAGAAGGAACATACAATTTGATAAGAAAGATCTCTGTCACCATTCACTTATGCCCCCAAAAGATTGTGGCTCTAAGACAAGTCACAATTGTTCTTTTTAAACACTCTCTCTCCTTAGGAACTCTTAATATTATAAATAAATGTTAAACTACATCTAGAAAGTCGAGCCAAAAAAAAGCGTGAATTTCCAGGAGCTGAGATATTTTATAAGAGGACACAGACAATGTAAAATTTCCTAAAGGAGTCAACAAAATGAGTAACTATCAACTCATATTCTAACTGAGTAACTATCTTTGGCATATTCTAGAATATACCAAAAAAACAAACAACAACAAAAAACACTTTTCCAAACCAAGAAACAACTGAACCCTCAGCATTTTTCTGGGGATAATTTAGGGTCCTTCCTCCAAGCATTAGTGGTAAATAATAACAGCTAAAGGCATTCGAAGAACAATATCTTATTTATGGGTCCACCCACTCCTAAAAGTAATAAATATGGTCTAGCAGATGTACATTTCTTAAGAGAAATGAAGTCAGTGTTATGGATGGAGACAGTAATTGTTAAATAAATTTTTTTTCCCTGAGGAAGATTAGCCCTGAGCTAGCATCTGTGCCAATCTTCCTCCACTTTATATGTGGGTTGCCGCCACAGCATGGCTGACGAGTGGCATAGGTCTGCGCCCCGGATCTGACTGCCGAAGAACCTGGGCTGCCAAAGCGGGGCACACAGAACTTAACCACCATGCCATGGGGCCGGCCCACAAATAAATGTTATATTCTTCATTTTTAGCTTCCAAATCCTAGAAGAGTTTATAGTTTTAGGAGTTTTTTAACAGTTGCCACATATTGTTCTGTATAACCAAGACGTGGTAGAATTTAAAGACCAAAAACTTAATGAGTACTTTTTTCACACTTTCTCTCTCGTAAAGGACTTTTCTTTTAAAGTATGAAAGTGAAACCCAAGTAAAACGCACAGTAAAAAAACATGGAAATTAAAAGTAAAAACGCCCCCCGCCATAAGCCACCAATCCACCACTGTTAACAGGTTAGTGAATAAACTTCCAGACATTTTCTACTTATAAATATACGTATTTATATAAATATATTTTTCTAGGTATAAAAACACATGCATATAAGCATGTACACAATTTTTAAAACATGGACATGACCATCTTCTATATACTGTTCTGCCACCTGCCTTTCTCGCTTAACAGAATATCCTCATCTTCTGAAGACTGGATTGCTGTTCCAAGACAGCCTTGGGTCCAGAAGAGCCTGGCCTGCAGCAGGTACTCAAAAAAGTAATTTGTTTTGCATTTCCATAGGGATATTATAAAACTCCCCATTTTGTATAGCCTCAAGAAGAGGACATAATTTCTTGCCATCAGTGACCACAGCTCAGAATCAACTTAAGTCCCTGATTTTCCTCTATATATCTCCTCAGGACTCCTCCATCTTACAAAAGACAAACCCTCCAATCCTATGGGTTTTGCCTTAAAATATTCTTGGCCAAGAGGCTTAACAATTTCTTCTCTCAAGGTAGCCCCCTAACTGGGCTACATGCACCATGAACTTTAAAAATGGCAATGCTCTTTGATCTAGTAATTCTAGATTGACTCTGAAAATCTATCTGAGAACTATAACCCTAAATATAGAAAACAATTTATGCACAAACATGTCTGTAAGAGCACTATACAAAGAGAATTACCTGGAAATGGTCATAGAAAGCAAAAGAATGCAAACACTCTAATTGTTCAAAAGGAAAACAGTTAAAAAAATATACACTCACTTGAAGGAATATTTCGAAGACATTAAAAATAAACTTTACTTTGAAGAATTGTTAAAACATGATATGTACGTATTATAACAGTGAGAAAAGCCAGATATAAAAAACACACATACACTCACTCTGATTAAAGTTTGAAAAGAAATAAAGTAAAATGTTGACTGTGGTTGCCTTTGGGCAACTAAAAAATATATATATCTAAATTTATTTGCATAGATTTATATATTTTCTTATAACAACAAAACAAGTATATAAGAAAACCATCTTTCTTTTCACTTGAAAAGAACAGCAGCTAAAGAAATAAGTCTACACACTTGAAAAAGTTCCAGGGCAGAATAAAACATTGTTTCTTTAAAATATCCACCTTATACCACATTACCTGATTACAAAGGTACTGGCCCAGGCCAGGCATAGCAGCAGCACTAAGATATATAACAGGTTTCTTGTTATATAACACATTGAACCCATCCACTACGAAGTCTTCATAGCGAGAATGAATGGCAAGCCTACAGATCTTTGCAAGTCCTTCTCTTTCTTCTTCGTGGAAATAAGCACAGCCATTTTCATACCTGTTAAGAGACACCCAGATATCAATATGTTGTTATCTCTGGTTAACTCTGATTTTATATCCCAATCTTATAATCATGGAAGTAATTCTTTTCTCAACCTAGAAACTGTCACCTAGATCAGTCAATGGAGATAGGAATCACCCTCATCTGAGATAGCTGACGGCTCCTTACAGATGGAGGTTATAAAGAACAGAGGCAATGACCCTTCCACCACACTCACCTCCATAAAGAGCAGAAACTATGAAAACCAGTGGAGAATAGGCATTCCTCACACATAAAAAGGCTGAAGATCATGGTTTTGGCTTATTCTACAAGAAGGACAGCACTGGATAATGCAGGCACTGTTCTTAGCAGAGTTGCAGCCCAAAAACATCCAAAGTAAATAAAACTGTCAAAACACTAGTCAGGCTAACTTTTGCTTGCACTGTTATCTGCTTGGGGCCTTTTATTGTTCTCAATCTCCCAGAGAATGAGAGAGAGAGCATTTCAATTACAGGTGTTGGATTTTTATTAGAACACAAGAAAATTTCTCCTTTGCAATATGGTCAGGCAAACTTATACTCTCGCCAGGCCAAGCTCCTTCTCAACAAGTGAAAGTGAGTCTCCCAAGTTAAGTGTTCCAATGCTAGGCAAATGCTCCTTTTGTGAGGAAGATCAGCCTTGAGCTAACATCTGCCAATCCTCCTCTTTTTTGCTGAGGAAGACTGACCCTGAGCTAACATCCGTGCCCATCTTCCTCCACTTTATATGGGACGCTGCCACAGCATGGCTTGCCAAGCGGTGCGTCGGTGCGTGCCCGGATCCAAACCAGCGAACCCGGGGCAGCCGCAGCAGAGCGTGCACACTTAACTGCTTGTGCCACCGGGCCGGCCCCTCCTTTCCTATGACAGTAATAATACAAACACAAAAACACCATTGGTCCTGTGTCTTCTACTGAATCCTTAATCTGCTATAATTCCTTAACAATGCCAACATTATCACAGTATAAAGCAAACTTCAATTTCACAACACATACTCATCTTCCTATGACAGCATTTCCTTTCTACTAAAGCACAAGCTAATACTTTGTTTTTTTTTTTTTTTAAAGATTTTTTATTTATTTATTTTTCCCCCAAAGCCCCAGCAGATAGTTGTCTGTCATAGCTGCACATCCTTCTAGTTGCTGTATGTGGGACGCGGCCCCAGCATGGCCAGAGGAGCGGTGCGTCAGTGCGCACCCGGGATCCGAACCCGGGCCGCCGGCAGCACAGTGCGCGCACTTAACCGCCAAGCCACGGGGCCGGCCCTAATACTTTGATTAAAGATATCTGAATCCATTTCACTGCTCTGTCTTCTGTCAACATGTGCCAATTAGGAATCCTAAAAGTAAGCAACTGCGGACATTATCCAACATGCACGTGCTTATGTTCTCAGCTTTTCACATATACTAGTTCATTAGCTCATTTACTCCTCACAATAATGCCAAGAAATAGATATTAACGCTATCTCCGTTTAAAAGATGAGGAAACTGAGGCATGGAGAGGTTAAGCAATCCTTCCAAGAGGAAGAGGAAGAGGCAGATTTGAACCCAGATAGCAAAGCTCCAGAAAGCAGATCTCTCACAGTCTATACCCCACTCATCAATGTCCTTACCGCAAACTAAAAACTCACGTCTTTACCTGAAAATTCTGCATAGCCATAAGGTAGTGTCTGAAAGTATCCGAGTTGTAAGTTTTCTCAGCCTCTCTTTGTCCAGAGTTGAAATATAAGCTCCCAGACTATGCCCCAACAAAGCTATATGACCTTGTTCTCCAATATTCTGGATTCTGTTAACCAAAATTCATTAGATTAAAAAAAAGTACTAATCAAAGCGTAAATAAAGAAATAAAACTTAAGAGAAACAGCATTCGACAGAAATTTCTGTCAGAGTTGAAATCTACTTAATGGCATAGAAGGCAGAAATACAGATAAATTTAGAAAATTCAATGCACATAAGGTATTGATAGTCTGGGGAGGAAAACTATTTTTAAAATTCAAGTCATAGGAGATAAATTTCCTTATTTTTATTGAATACCTACTAAATATACAAACTGTTTTCAATACAAACTGTTTTGAATTTTCTTCTAAAAATTTTTTTAAAATTAAGTACCAGCCGTAAGAACTATGGAGGGTAGAGCTGAGATAAAATGTGCAGAAAACAATTTTTTTAAGACTCATTAGATAAAGATCAATTCCCTGCATTAACTAGCTATTTATGAAAATAATACAGCAAATTCAAGCGGAACGAGGTATTGTATTATATATAATTAAAATGGACGGACGAATTTCCCTTATAACTATAAATCAATAAGAAAAAGACAAAAAATTGAACAAGATATTGGGCAGAGGAGACAGCTCACAGAAAAGGAAATATACATAAGTCAAAACATACAAAACGACACTTAACCTGGTTCATAAGAAAAATGCAAATTAAAATTATACTAAAATATAATTTCTCACCCAACAGACTGACAACGATTGTTAAGTCTGTTAACACCCTTGCAGGTAAAGGTGTGGGGAAAGAGGGGCTCTCATACACTGCTGGTGGCACTGTAAACTGGCACAATTCCGTGGAGGGAAATTTGGCAATATCTATTGAAATCACAAATGCACAAACCACCTGGCCCAGCAATCCCACTTCTAGGACTTTAACGTCCGGAAACAGTTGCGTCAATGAGAAGTAACACATGTATGAAGTTATTGGCTGCAGCAATGTTTGTATTAGTAAAACATGAATAGAAGACTAGCTAAATAAAATATGGTTCATCCATTCAAAGTGAAACTAAACAGCTCTTGAAGGAGAAAGCTCCTTGTGTATTAATATGCAATGAACTCCAAGACATAAATGAAAAAGTAAAGTACAGAACAATGTACACAGTATTTATGCACTGGAGGGGGTGAGTATAGACATTTTATTTGTGTATACATACACACAAAATATTTCTGAAGAATATACAAGAAACTGACAACACTGTCTATCTCTAGGGAGGAGAACAAGACAGAAGGCAGAGGTAAGAAAGAAGATTGCTTTTGTATATGTACCCTTGTTATCCTTCGAAATTAAACCGGATGAATGTATTAATTATTCCAGAAAATTAAATTTAAAATAATTAAGGAGAAAATAAAACTAAACAAATAGCTAAATAGACGAATAAATAAAAATAAAACAAATGGATGACTCACAGACAACGTGGCCTGCCACCCATCAATTCAGCTGTAGCAATTCTTAGCAAGCAGAAGCACATACGCAGAAGTGATCAGAAGCAGAAAAGTGCACAGCAGTTATTCTTTGGTCCCTTTGTCAACCCCTCCCTAAGACACCATACCATAAACACTACAGGGTTTAGTTTTAGTAAATACCTTCCTTTTACAAAATATATTATCTAAAGTATATAAATGTCTCTCTGAAAAGAAAAAAAATGAACGTTTTAATATCATATGTACTGTAACTCTGAATGAAACAGCTTATTATTTCAGCATCTTGTAAGAATGTAATCACTATCAAAATCATGAACACATAGACTTTCAAAGAGAAGCTGCCAACAGTTCTGTATTACCGGGCACTCTGGGGCTCCTCATCTTCATCTCCATGCATCAGATTCTGAACTAACTGGAGGATGCTCACCATATCTTGCCCACTGCAGAATAAAAAAGAGTTGATGGACAGGTGGAAATACCACACATCCCCACCACTCTCTATTTCTCTCATCCAAACTAGCTTTAAGTTTTTTTTTTTTAAAGGAGTAGCTATAAGAGAAAGAATGTGTCTGAGATAAAATATACATCTTTTAAAGACAGACTTCAAATTATTAACTGAATTCTGAAATAACCATTTTTTTTTTGTCAGTGCAAGTCAATCCTGTGTACAGCAGAGTGGAACCCTGCCCAGTCTTTTGGGTCATCCTCTAATCTTCTAGCACTCTATCGGACAATGCTCCATTGCTATTCATGGGGTTTTCACGGCCAATTTTTTCAGAAGTGGACGACCAGGTCCTTCCTTCCTAGTTTGTGTTAGTCTGGAAGCTCCGCTGAAACCTGTCCACCATGGGTGACCCTGCTGGTATTTGAAATAGTGGTAGCATAGCTTTCACAGCAATATGCAGTTGCCACAGTATGACAACTGACAGATGGATGGTGTGACTCCCTGACTAGGAAACAAACCCAGGCCACAGCAGTGAGAGTGCTGAATCTTAACCACTAGACCACCAGGGCTGGCTGAAAATAACCTTACTTGTGATTGATTAAATCTTCTACCTAAATATGAGATTGATTTTTTAAAATTTCACCAGTATTGCTTTAGCAATATTTCTCTATCTGTTCATATGAATCCTGGAGAATATTTAATAAGCATGCTATAAAAGCCAAAACAGTCCTTATAAGATGCTGGCGGGTCACTGAAGCAGCAAGAATAGTCCAATGCCATCAGTATATCTAGTTTCTCTCCATGCAGGAGTCTCATCTGTTTGTTCTAACAGACTTCATCATGTAATGCACGCATCGTTTATTACCACCTCTTCCCCAAGCTGGGAAACTGCAGATCTGCTTAGACTGTAAACAGACTGACTTCTGTCCAAGATAATGTTACCAAATGCTCATTACATGAGGAGGTGAAAATTTATGAGAAGAATGTGAATGGCTAAAGTTGTCAGCAATGGCAAGGCAATTTGTAACACATGTAATGTAAAAATATTATCGCTCTATTAATGAGAATATGACTAACAAAAAGCTCTCTCTTTTGAAAAGGAAGCACTGTCAAAACAATGCCCCAGTACCCATCCTCCCTGAGGTGCTGAGCTTCGAGGGGCTCTGGTCCTTTGACACTGTGTAGATATTAGGCCAAGGGGCCCTCGAGGCACACCTGAGCGCTAGCCATGTGACCCTGAGCAAGCTATTGAAACGTGCTAAGCCCCAAATTACAGAATCATGAGGATGCAATTAGACAGTGCATGTAAAGCACTTAACACTGTGCCTGGCACAGTCCTATCTCAGATGTTGGCTATTAGCATGATTAAGCGCGAATACTCCCGACCAGCGGGTTTAATGCCCTCATCATGAGAACTGCAGATGTTCTTGGTAGTATCTCTTCCAAGGAAACTTCTGTAAGATCAGTAGAACCCTTTAATGCCCTTGTAGGCCTGGGATGAGGAGATTTATAGGACTGGTTCCTGTTCTGAGTTGCAGAACGCACTTCACATCAGGGCTGCAAATCAGCACCATTCAGACTACAAGGAGGAGTAGCTATTTTAAAATATTAGTATCTGGGTGTGTTAGATGTGACATCTATTGGCACACTGTATCCTTCCTCTGTACTTTTCTTTTGCAACCTTGTAACATGTTTATATTCAGGTCAAAGGACAATTTAAGGGAGTTGTACTGTTTACCTATGTGAAGTTTCCTGGTTATAAAATGAAAAAGTTAAGCTTGTTTGACGGAAGCCGGGCTGGGACTTTAATTCCAGATTGAGTGCTAACAACCTGTGAAAATTTTAGTCGAATACTTATTTTTCTGTTATTTTCCCTGCTGGCTCAAACCACAAACACTTGACAGATTTGCTTTCGCTGCCAAAAAATAAAGCACTCTGCCAATAAATGATTAAAGTTAACATTTTCCTTTCAATCATAAAAATGATAAGTCTTATCAAATTAAAATATCTCTCACAATAAAGCTCAGCCTACCAAATAGATTACAGGTTTCAACGATGAAGTGTGATAGTCAAGTTATAATTATAAATTTGTGCATCACTTTTGAGTCATGAGTTTGTGTTAAATTCTGAATGGGAAAGGAGGAGAAGCAGGCAGACTCAACATTATTCCCAACCAGCCAATGGCATTCAGTTTTTTTTTGTTTGTTTTTGTTTTTGGTGAGGAAGATTCGCTCTGAGCTAACATCTGCGGCCAGTCTTCCTCTTTTTTTCCTTGAGGAAGATTAGCTCAGAGCTAACATCTGTGCCAATCTTCCTCTTTTGTTCCTTGAGGAAGAGTCACCCTGAGCTAACATCTGCTGCCAACCTTCCTCTATTTTGTATGTGGGTCGCCACCACAGCATGGCTGATGAGTGGTGTAGGTCCGCACCTGGGATCCAAACCCGTGAACCTGGGCCACCGAAGCAGAGCACACAGAACTTTACCAGTAGGCTACAGGGCTGGCCCCGGCATTTGGTTTTTTGACGTTACACTGCACGTAACTCTAAATTTGCTTTGTGCTCATTAAAACTAAAATTGTAAATCAATAATGATAAAATCTTGGTTTAAAGAAAATATATAGCCTAACTAAAGGTTCTTATTACTTATCTTCATTGCCACCTACCTGCCTTGGAGTGGCCCTGGAATATCCCCTGAGATGAGCTTCTTTCCATTTTCCTCCTCTGTTCTTCTAATTTAAAGGAAATACAAAACTGTTCGTTTCATCATATCAAATTTCTAACATTTGAGCATGCAAACATGCAACAATGTTGCCTATAACCTCTTAGTAACTGATGTAGGATTTGAAACACAGTTATCACATCTCTCCCCCCACCCCTGGCCCCAGCTCCCAATTTGGGGTATAGTTTGAGTTTCAGGAAAAGAACATGGAAAAAATAATAATACTTCAACTCATTTCTTGGTTAGTTGATGTCCTATATGACCTGAATATATGTTAAGAAGTATTTATAGATTAAAATCACTATATTAAGTAAATGAAACACTTAAAAGGCAGAACTAAAAATTATAAGTCCTGCCCCTCAATTTCAAAATCCTTTAATTACAAAGCAACTTTACCCAAGACAAATACCAACTCTAAAGTCAGCCGAAGCTAAGCTAAGTGTGACATTCTGAAACCAAGAGCTGTTTTCAACAGCAGGAAACTAGTGCCACGAGTTTCACAGCAGGTTGAACACGTTTAATAGGGGCACTTCTGTTCCACAGGCTCACCTCTGACTGTCCTCTAGCATCTTCATGGCCTCCTTCAAGTTCTTTCCCATTTCAGCTAACGTAGGGTCTGCTATCTGGGAAGCAAATCAAAAAAAGGTTAGATTTTAATAATCCGTCTATTATTCCTGCAACATAATTCATTCAGAAAAGCTAAATGCAAGTCCACTTTCTTATGAATTTATTATAAAACATATGGATTTATTATAAAAGTATACGTTTGATTAAAAAATTCCAACAGTACAAACATATAACATAAACAAAGTCCACCAGTCCTACTGCCCAGGGGAAGCCACTTTTAAGTTTGACATACAGCTTCCCAAATTTTTACCTTACTCATATACACCTCTGCAACTTTCTTTTTTCTACTTTATAGTGAATATGGTTCCACGTCAGTATGCCCACTTCTTTCTTCTTAGTGGTGACACCATATTGCAGTCTATGGATGTGCCATCATTTAACCAGTCCTGAATTAACAGACCCTTAGGTTACTCCAGTTTTTCACTATTAGAAGCAAGGTTCAGCAAAGTATGTCAAGTATGCTATTTGTTTTACTGTTGTTGTAGGCTGAAAAATGGCCCCCCAAAAGACAGTCACATCCTAATCCCTGGAACTGGTGAATGTTATCTTATAAGGCAAAGTCTTTGCAGATGTGATTAAGTTAAGGATCTTGAGATGGCAAGATTACCCCGAATTATCCAGGTGAGCCCTAAACGGAATCATATCCATCCACACGAGAGAGAAGTGGAAAGAGACCACACACACACACACACACAAACAGACGAGAAGGCTACGTGAAGATGAGCAGAGGGAGTTTGAAGATGCTGGCCTCGAAAACTGGAGTGATGGGGCCACAAGCCAAGGAAGGAGTGCTGGCAGCAACATAAGCTAGAACAAGAATGAAAGGGACTCGCCCCCAGAGCCTCTGGAGGGAGCACAGCCCTGCCAACACCTCGATTTCAGCCCAGGGATACAGATTTCAAACTTCTGGCCTCCAGAACTGCGAGACAATACACTTCTGTTGTTCTAAGCCATCCAGTTTGCGCTAATTTGTTACAGCAACCACAGGAAACTAATACACTCCTAAACGGGCAAGTGCTTCTATAAGCTCGGGAAGCTTACACAGCCGGTGATAGTGACCACCTGCAGAGAAGGGAACTGGAGGACAGGCACAGGGGGCAGAGGGAGTCTTTTCAGTTCACATCCGTTTGTTACTTTTGGATTTTAGTACCAAGTGTACATCTATCTCCCATTCAAAAAATAAAACAAAATTTAAAAAATTCTTGCACAATTAAAACACACACTTATTTTCCTTTCTTTCTTCTTAATCTCCACAGCAATTATTAGGCAGACAATTTTGTTGCCTTGAATCTCTGTATAGTATGAGTTGGGTTATAAACAGTTAGAGAAGCTCTCTTTTTCTCTTTTGTTCCCTTCTTCCTCTTCAAGAGTACTTCAAGTGTATTTCTCTTCTCTTCATATTGCCTATTGTACCTAGTAATATCTTATACAGAGTAGTTGTACAATGAGTTGTATTATGTTTAGTACTGCATTACCTCCTCAAAATTGTTTTTAAAAAAATTCTACTCAATTTACCAAACAAAGTAAGTATCAGAAAATGCTAATTCTAAAAGGGACCTTAGGGATCTAGCCCAGGGATTTTCCACTTGTGTTCTTCTGAGCCCTAAGACTCCCGGGATGAACTCTGGGGAGGAGGGGTTGGGTAGGCAGTTGGGGCTTCTAGCTCCCTAACCGCCCCCCCCCCATTAAGGAGATCACCTCTGTTTTATATAATAGGGTTTTGAGTAAAGTTTTATGTGTAAACAATTTCATTAAAAAGAAAGTATGGCATGAAAACCTTTGATTCTGGTCTAACATTTTTGAGGTGAAGAAACTAAGACCTAGAGAGGTAAAGTGACTTGCCTAAGGCCATGGAGCTAACAAATGACAGAGTGGTGCCAGAACCCTGGTTTCCTGACTCTTGTTTCCAAACTCTTTCTATTACACCACACCGACTCTCACAAGGGATTACAAAATAATCACGTAGCCACATCTGACTTTTACACAGATAGAAAAATCATTTTAAAACAGGTGTCTCCAATAAAATTCACAATTTAAATGTAACCATGAGATGGGTGAGAGAGCAATCTAAAAGAGTCTCAGTGTTCTCAGTAAATGATTATGAGTAGGATGAGGAACAGATAATGGTCAAGAGAATTTATCTTAACTCCTCTATCTACTGGTCATGTTCCTTAGTATTCTCATCTCGTGACACTCCAATGTGTCCCGGATCATCTGGCCAAATGAAAAGATAGTTTTGATCAATCACACCTCTATGTTTCATGCTTATAACACTTGCCCTGTCTGAAACATCCTCGTGCCTTTTATCTATCACTAGCTACCTATTAAATCACAATTCAATACTTCCAAGAAACCTTTATGGATAAAACCATTTTCATGTCCTCTCTAATGATATTGATACCATTTTTTCTAAACCAAAAATCTGCTCTCGTTGCCTGACAAAAATGATCGTATTTATGGGGACCAAGGGACAGAATGCTTGAAACTGGGGCCATTCTACTATTCGACTGTTTATCCTCATGATTCCTTACATTCTTTACTGTGAATTGTTTTATAGATGATCTTTCCAGTATGGATATTCTCTCCGATTAGATTATAAGCTTCCTGAAGGCAATGATTCAGACTCCTACTAATTTTGACTCCTCTTGTAGGACCATGAGTCTAAAGTCAGCTCGGTTCTTGGATCGCCATGTCACCTCTGAAACCTCTCAGGAAGGCATGGTGTACTGGATCTCAACATAACTGGCTCTAAGTGCAACACAGCTAATTTTTCCTATAGGACTGGAACAAATTTTTCAGTTAAGAATAGACCAAGTAGTTGACTTAGTTTAGAAGCCACTTCATAGGAACAATACTTATTTTTAAACACCAGAATCACATGTGATGACGGGATGCTTACACTGTGGAAGGCAAGAGGGAAACGCAGCTCCCTATTCCCCCTCCCGAGTCTCCCTCTAGAGCACACGCTCCCTGAGGGGAACAGCTGACACTGAAATTGGTCTTGCTCCTACTCTTTCAGGGAGTGAAGTGGGGCGGGGAGTGGGTGGGTAAGGAAAATAGCATTTATAGTTAAATTTGAGTGAATTAAATGTGAGTATGATATGACTCCAATGTTGGAGACCCTCACGTGCTTGTTGCATTAATTGGATAATCCAAAAGATAAAATGTTATCCAGTTGCAGGATAACATCAGGCTCTAAGTCAAGGAACGCTCTAAAGAAAATGTATATTTATTAACGAGTTCCTTAAAACTGAAAACCCTGCCTCCATAAGCATCTAGTGAGGGCGGCCACTACTTTCTTACTCACATTTTGTATCCTTAGGACCTGTTAGAGTTCCAGACAAGGTAGCTGTGTGATAAATGTTAATAAACAGCAGCAGGGCAACAGCCAGACACCAACTTAAATGAGTGAAGAATTAAGTTGTAGAAAGATGTCTATTATTCAGTATTTAGAAGGAGACTTTTATGATATCAAGGGAAGAAAAAAATAGTATTCTGTGCCAGGTTCCTAAGAAGAAAGTCCTATCATTTTTTTATTCCTTAGCACCTAGCACAGGGTCTGGCACAGAAAAAGGGCTCAATGAGATCTGTGATCCTTCATAATTACTAACACTTACTGGGTTGCTTGCCATATTCCAGGCATGATGCTAATTAACACCTTGACATGCATTCGTTCCTGACTAACCCAAAGGCACAGAGTCAGTATGTGGTAGAGCCAGAACTTACAGTCTCTACTACCCTAGAACCAGTGCTCTTAACCACCAGACAACACTGCTTCTCAATTTCATCAAATAAGTAAACGAAGCAACTCACACTGTGAAAAAGCTCTGTACTCAAAAATCATAATCAGGGCCGGCTCCGTGGCTTAGCGGTTAAGTGCGCGCGCTCTGATGCTGGCGGCCTGGGTTCGGATCCCGGGAGCGCCCCGAGGCACCACTTCTCCGTCCAACGTGAGGCCGAGTCCCACGTACAGCAACTAAAAAGGATGTGAACCTATGACATACAACTGTCTGCTGGGGCTTTGGGGGGAAAAAAACTGAATAAATAAAATCTTTAAAAAAAAAAAAAATCATAATCAGAACTAAGGCCTCATTTTAAAGATGATCTTTGCTTAATATTTTCTGATAAAAAGTACATCAGAAGACTCTCCCTACAGGTAAAACTTCTGTTCTACAACAGTCTCAACTAGATGACCATAAACTTATCATCCAAAACCAGGGCATTTTTAAGAGTGAAAGGGAGTACTATTAATAATTAAGCCAGGACATAGGTAAGGACAGTCCCAGACAAACCAGGATGTACAGCTTCCCTAGTCTTCACTAAAAAGTTTACTTCAGATCTTAAACCATCATTCCACCTCGCGAAGCCCTGCAAATGTTTGTGGTGATGACTTTTTATGAGTTATAGGTAAGATGAAAGACGACATATAGGGCCGGCCCTGTGGCTTGGTGGTTAAGTGCGCGCGCTGCGATGCTGGTGGCCCGGGTTCGGATCCCGGGTGCGCATCGAGGCACCACTTCTCCGTTCATCCTGAGGCCGAGTCCCACATACAGCAACTAGAAGGATGTGCAGCTACGACACACAACTATCCACTGGGGCTTTGGGGGGAAAAATAAAATAAATAAAATCTTTAAAAAAAAAAAAAAAAAAGAAAGACGACATATAGTTTGAAAGCAGTGCACCCACAGTGCAGGTACTGCCTATGGCATCAGTCTCGATACTAAGGATCAGACAGTATTGCTAGCACAGACTTCGGTTCCTACTTATAAACACATCTGAATACATTTTCCCTCATTTAAATCGTGAGTAAAGTGACCTGGCTAAAAATCTGGGGCCTACTAGAAACAATTTCTGAAAAAAGGTCCATTTGTTAACCAAAAAGGTCAACAGAGTCCCACTCTCCCTTGTAAGGCCAGTTGGTATTCAGTCTGTTTCCCTTCCATTATCTTTCCGACCGCCCTTAAGCAAGCCAGCCCAGGTTGTACTACATGTGAAT